ATGCGCTTGGAGCGTCCTCCCTGTTCACACTCATCCACACTCACTAGTCTCAGACCCCAGGTGCCTGGACCGTCCCCGCACAGGGACCGTGTACCCGCCCCCACAAGGCGGTCGGCACCCGCACCAGTGTCTTTCTCGGCTCTTGCAGGCCCCCCGGTAACAGCTTTCCCCTTCTCACACTCTGGTACCTTCTGCGATTGTTGTCCTGTGTCGTCAGAGCGCTTTTCAGCGTGTCTCCGTCGGGAGAGGAGCGTGCTTTTTGTTGGCGTTGCTTAGGGCTTTCGAGCGGGCCAGGGTCACTAATAGTATTTGAGGTTTCCATATGTGAAGAGAGAAATACTATCGCAGTATCACAAACATTGACGGTTAACAATTTCTCCGTTTCATAGATGACTCCACACAAGAACGTGTTGCAATAAAATTCCATGGACGAGTCATTTACAGAATTTACAGTGTTCTGTAGAGCGCTTGGCCCAATAAAGTGGTAGAGATTTACACTTCTAGCTTGGATGGCTTCTTTCCAGTTCGTCAGTGAGTCTGTGTGACCTTGTTTAACGATAATGTCGACAATTTACATACATTGAATTTCGTTAATTTTCTTAAAACTGGTCCTCTTGGCTCATTTGTGACAGGTCTTGGCTTTTCTTGACTAGCAAATTAGAAGATTCTGGAACACAGACATGGGGTCTGTTATGTGTCCCTCCTTCCTTGTCCGCAGAATACCATCAGGCAAATAGTAGGAGCTCAATAAAAATGGGCTCAATTTCTCACATACATATTTTTGGGGGGTGAAATTTTGCGATAATCTTTAATGTGGGGGTTATTGAGCTAAGATTATTTTATCCTGCAAAAATCTGACTACGGACATGTTCTCTTTCTCTCCCCCTGGAAGCAGGAAGACGGTGGCTAAGCCATCGTGGGTGGTGTTGGTAGAAGTGGTAAGAGGAGACCACCAGGCTCAGACATGTGGCCTCGTGGAGACATGATTTTCGGGAGGATCACTGGCAAGGATGTCCAGCCAAAATAAGTTTTTTTTAAGTTTACTTACTTATTTTCAGAGAGAGTGAGAGAGAGCAAGCGAGCAGGGGAAGGGTGGAGAGAATCCTAAGCAGGCTCCACACTGCCAGCACGGAGCAAGACGTGGGGCTGGGACTCAACAGCCGTGAGCTCACGACCCGAGCTGAAACACCAGGAGTCGGGTGGCTTAACCTTCCAGCCAAAATTTTTTTTGAGGATGGCTGGTATCTTGGTTTCTATGACATTTCCCCTCAAGCATCAACATATATTCTGGTGATACCCAAGGAACATATATTCCAAATACCTGTGGCAGAAGATGATGAAAACCTTAGGGGCGCCTGGGTGGCTCATTCGGTTGAGCATCTGACTTCGGCTCAGGTCATGATCTAACGGTTAGTGGGTTCCAGCTCTGCGTCGGGCTCTGTGCTGGCAGCTCAGAGCCTGGAGCCTGTCTTCGGATTCTGTGTCTCCCTCTCTCTCTGACCCTCCCCTGCTCACGCTGTTTCTCTCTCTCTCAAAAATAAGTAAAACATTAAAAAAAGAAAGAAAACCTTGGACATTTGATGGTTGTTGGCAAGAGATGTGCTGCTGATACGGGCCTGGTTATGGGATGGTGGCCAGTGAAGGCTGAGTTTGGGGTTTGGTCTGTCGGTCACGTTCACCTGCCTGTTTTCAGAGCTGTGCAGATGCACTGGCTTCCTGGCCTAGCGTGCTTTACGGATACTGTTCTCTTCCCTTGGCAACGGTCATGTTCTAATATGTTAGACAGTACACTTACGCTCGTCTGTGAATGGAGAGGTTGAAGAAATGATTTTTAAAAACCGCATACATTATGAAAGACATTGTTGCATAGTTTGCTATAAAACCAAAAACCAACACCCTTACCCCAAACAGTCAAAGATAAGACTACCAGCTTGAAAACTCCAGAGATTTTTTTTTCTGATGAGAAAATTTGATCGTATTACTCCTTTGATCAACGTTGGTGATGGTTTCTTACTGCCCACAGACAAATAAAATCAAAACCCATTTGCATTGCACATTCACTTCCTTATGACTGGCACTTTCCCTAGCTCTTCTGCCACAACGCAGAATTACATTGTAGGCCCCAGAATTTTCAGGGCTCCTTTGATATCTTTGAGCCTCATAGGGCCCCCAAAGGCCTGTGAATTTGCCTGTTCTCACAGGATATGACCTCACAGGTCACATAGGAGCCCAGTTCCTCTATCAACCAGACCAGGTACATCCGATCAGCCCCTCAACCTAATGGGTTTCCCCTCCCTGTCAGTCTTGGAAGCTGATAAGCCAATCCATCTTTTGGAGGGAACCAGGGGCCACTGTACCCCCTGGTTACTAGGAAGCTTACCTCCCACAGCCCTTGCTGGCTCACTCTGTTTGAGACTGTAGACCGAGAGACCGTGCATGGGATGTGGTGCCCTCCTCCTCCAGGCCGTGAGTACATGTGACCAGCAGACAGCTACCAATGTCATCCGTCCAGTGTTGAGCAAGGAATATCCGGCCATCTGGGATACTGCTTAGGGCAGACCGCCTTCACCTACAGCGTGAATGGGACTCTGAATACGGCCACTTTTCTCCTCAAATCCTCCTCCTGCAATCTCTCTCACCTCCACACTCCATCGCACTGAATGTTTTATAGGTCTTTAGAAACCCTTAACTGTTATGCCTCCTCGTACTTGTTTTTGTTTTGTTTTGTTTTGTTTTTCCTATCTGGAAGCTTCTTCTTGGCTGCCTGCTAAGCTCTTACTCATTCAGGTTGGGACTCAACATCTGCCACCTTTCCCGAATTGGGTCATTACCAGCGCAAAGGTAATGCAGCAAATCTAATTTACTTGTTTTTCACAGATCTCGGTAGTCACAGTGATGACCCTTTGTCAAACTCTGAGAACGGAAGTACTGGAATGTTCAGTTACTAGGTAATGATGTTATTCTATGTACCTGAAGCGGTGGATCACTATGAAGCAGGTTGTCAGGTTATTTGAAGTAAACTTGGAAATTCCTGACGCGTAGCTGGTGTCAGGCAGGTGTGGAGGTCGGTGATTGGCTCCCTTCCAGAACTTGGGCTCCAATACTCACTCAAGTGGACTTTGCTTGGCAACCAGAGTTCACTAGGGACTGTAGTTCGCAACTGGAGACAAGAATATCCGTATTGTTTTTGAAGATGGAGGCCAAGAAAGACTTCTCGTCTTTGCTCTTTGTATCTTTCCCCTCCTGTGTCTGCACTCTTCCCTTTGCTGTGATAAAATCTTAACTGTGAGAATATGTTGAGTCGTGTGAGTCCTTCTAGCAAATCACCCAACTGGCAGGTGACCATGGGGCTATCAAAAACCCTCATTTTTCCTTCTTCCACTGTACTTTGTGCATAATCTCTTAAAAGAAATATCTTATTGTACTATACATACTTATATACTTGTTGAAAAGCACGTCTAGACTGTAGGTTACTTAAATACTTAATGTGTAGCACGGTGTCACACAAATATCTGAATAGGGATCTTTTCTAAGAGAAATATAAAACATACACTTTACAAATGAGCACAGAGAGCACTTCTGTTGGAGACTGTAAAGGGCGGTAGGCGGTAGAGACACATTTACCAGCACCAACCACATAAGTGGTTTTCTCAAGTCACAGCTCAGTCGTGGCCACCAAAACTTTGCACTCTGTCTCAAACTGTTACATATTTATTCTAAAGATTCAGACTCTGGTCGTTGCAAAGTTTTGGCCCTGGGACGGCCCAGCAGATCAGTCTATGGCTTTAGCCACGCGGCCACAGCTCACTAACAATTAGTGCTTTCTGAATAACGTTTAGAAGGAAAGAAAACGCCTTCTCTCGGCTTCCAACCCTGCCCTCACTCCTACACTCAGCTTATTTTAGCGTTTTTCCCAGCTTCACAGGGCAATGGGGCAGTCATGATCATTTTGGCAACCACTAGAAATATAGTTTATGGTGGGAGAACATCTTCGTTAATGATACTTGAGTGTCCATGACGGCCGGTCTATTCATCTCTGGAGAATATCAAGTTTCACCGTTATTTTCAGGAAATAAGTTTCACCCCAGAATGAAGCAAAACAACAGGCTCTATTTTCTTTCCGTATTGGGAAACGAAGCTATAGAATTTTAACTATAAGCCTGTAAGGAAAAAAAGCAGATAGCAGAGGATGGTTTCGATCCATCGACCTCTGGGTTATGGGCCCAGCACGCTTCCGCTGCGCCACTCTGCTCCCTGGCAAAGCGTGCTTCCGAGTGACACTCTTAACTGTGTTCAGAGGCGATTACGGACACTGGAAAAACCTCGAAAAATCGAGGTCGCCGATTCAACACCTCGGCGACCATAAACTGTCAGTCCTCTTCGGGATACTGTCGCTACCACCAGGGCCAGCGACGGACACATTAACCCACTGTTGGAGTTCCGGAGGCAGGGGGAGGGGTGCCAGGGTAGTCGGTGAAGATTAGGAGCCGCACTAAACCGGGAGGGCGGGCTTCGCCCGGCAGGCGAGAGTCCGCTTCGGGTCGCTAAGCAGGCGCGCGGCGGCCATCGGGAGGACGCCCCTCGGGCTCGGTGCGCGGGTGACGACCGCCACGGGAGGCCTGGCGGCCGGCTCGGGCGCGAAGGGCCGGCCCGCGGGCGCAGGAGCGCCGGGGGCGCGCAGGCCGACGCGAGCGCCTGAGATCAGCCAAGGCTCCCCACACAGCAAAAACAGACGAGGGCGCTCGCGTCTCTAGCGCGACGCACCTGAGAAGCCCCCAGCTGCCCACACAGGACCCCAGGACCCCCGCCGCCTCGCGGAGCCCGCGCTCCGGAAGTCCCGTCTCGGGCCCTGCCTCCAGTGACGTCACTCCAGCCGCCGTGAGGGGCGGGGCCGGGCCACGGCCGTTCCCGCGCGCGCGCTTCCAGTCCTCAATTAGGTCCGCAATCGGCATATATAAGGAGATTGTTCCAACCGCTTCCACGCTTTCTTCGGGAGCTCTCTCGGCGGTGCTGTCATGTCCGGCCGCGGCAAGGGCGGGAAGGGCCTGGGCAAGGGCGGCGCCAAGCGCCACCGCAAGGTGCTGCGCGACAACATCCAGGGCATCACGAAGCCCGCCATCCGGCGGCTGGCCCGGCGCGGCGGCGTCAAGCGCATCTCCGGCCTCATCTACGAGGAGACGCGCGGGGTGCTCAAGGTGTTCCTGGAGAACGTGATCCGGGACGCCGTCACCTACACGGAGCACGCCAAGCGCAAGACGGTCACGGCCATGGACGTGGTCTACGCGCTCAAGCGCCAGGGCCGCACCCTCTACGGCTTCGGGGGCTGAGCGCCCGCGACCTGGTACCTCCGCATCACAAAAAGGCCCTTTTCAGGGCCGCCCACACCTCATGAAAGACTGTAACTTTCAGTTCCTGTTTAAGAACTTTCTACCTGAGGGTCCAGGTTCAAGTTTGTGGGAGTTACGGTCTCAGGTCTGTCGTGCTCTTAACCTGATGGCTTTATGACGTTGGGACATGGTTAAACTGTCCGTGGCTCTGCAGCGGCTGGGATTAAGCCTCGGGGAATCCATCGTTTCCTGGTGACCGACAGGGTCACGTGGCACCGTCGGCTCTACCAGGGAGCTTCCTTTGTTCTCGAGCACTTCCGAGTTAGAAGTCGCGTGGGTTTGGCTACCGAATGCTAGAAGGGATTCCCACCGGGGAGGGAGCGGACGCGCCTTTCCGGCCGGGTTCCCGTATCCAAGATGGCGGGCGCCGCGGCGGGTGGGCGGCTGCGGAACAAAGACCGGTTCCCGCCGCCGCCGGCCCCGCCCCGCCCCTGGGCTGAGCCGCGCTCGGCCCCGCCCCTCTGCCCCGCCCCCGCCCCGCTCGGCCCCGCCCCCTCCGGCTCCGGCCCCGCCCCCCCGGCCCCGCCCGGCCCCTGGGCTGAGCCGCGATCGGCCCGCGGGCTCTGCGGCCGGGAAGGTCCGGGGGCTGTGGGCTGGGCCAGTAGGCGTAGATCTGGCAAGGTGTGCGTGGCCCAGCGCGCATTTTCCGATGTATTATGAAAACCTCACGTAGTTACGGATGTTACTTAGTGGTCAATATGGAAACGTCACCTAACCTTAAGGAGCCGTGGTAGCATTTTTAAAAGTATATATAAGCATCAGGATATTTCACCCCCAAATTACTAAGTGTAGGGGAGGAAGTGATGAGGGAGCTTCGACAAGCTGATGGCAAAATACAGGCGCCTCCCCTCCCCCAGGTGGGATCTGTGTGATATTCCTCGGGCACTCCTGGCCACCCAAGAACAAAGGAAAGGGATGTAAGCGCTTCCGATGGTGATGGGGGAAAGTAAAGCAAGTGAAAAATTTAATTCTCTTCCTGTCTACAGCCATGGACAAGTCCTTGAAACCAGCAGAGTGACCTCCCTCTGGGAGCTCAGCTGCCTGGATGATGACACTTTGCAGGGGACAAAAGAATCTTGGCCTAACACTATCCTGACCAACCCGGCCCCCAGCCCAGAACCTGTAAGGCTGCTTTAACACACAAAAATTCCTTTGGAAGCTTCCTTTATCTCAGCTGCCTCAACGTATATACTGACAATCATACTCCAAACTTGTGGCCCCTGATACACATCTGGAGGGTCTCATGACTGACGTTTTACTAAACCGTAATGAATGGCGTTTCTCTAGCAACAGCTAGCCCCTCAAGGTCCTGAAAACCTTGCTTCCAAAATTCCTTAGCGATTTACTCTATCCCTGACCCCCCTCCCAACCTAAGGCTATATAAGCAGTTCCCCATCAGGTCAGCTCTTCCTGCCCACGGTCCTGTCTGTCCCCGTGCTCTAATAAAATCACCTTTTTGCACCAAAGACCTCTTAAGAATTCTTTTTTGGCCGTTGGCTCTGGACCACCTCACCGTCACCCCAAAACGTCATCAGAAATATTTCACTTCCTTCAGGGTCTTCCAGCTGGACTAAACTTTATAGGAGACATTACCAGGAGGAAAGAAAAAAACATCCAAATGTTTTATTACCTGTGTCCAGAGGGCCAATAAGAAATTTGAGGCCCAGGGGCGCCTGGGTGGCTTAGTCGGTTAAGCGTCCGACTTTCGCTTAGGTCATGATCTCGCGGTTCGTGGGTTCGAGCCCCGCGTCGGGCTCTGTGCTGACTGCCAGCTCAGAGCCTGGAGCCCGTTTGAGAGTCTGTGACTCCCTCTCTCTCTGACCCTCCCCTGCTCACGCTGTCTCTCTCTCTCTCTCCTAGAAATAAAACATTTAAAAATTAAAAAAAACAAAAAAAGAAATTTGAGGCCCAAACAAATGAATAAAGCAGGCAGTTTTTAATACCTTCTAGATAGAGAAAATGGATTTGTGAAGAGTGGGCAGGATTAAAAACACATGTTTGAGGGGCACCTGGGTGGCTGTCAGTTAAGCGTCGACTTCAGATCAGGTCATGATCTCCCAGTTCATGGGTTCCAGCCCCGCATTGGGTTCTTCCTGACAGCTCAGAGCCTGGAGCCTGTTTCAGATTCTTTTTATTTATTTATTTATTTAATTTTTCTGAGAGAGAGAGAGAGAAAGTGAGCAGGGGAGGGCCAGAGAGAGAGGGAGACAGAGAGAGGGAGACAGAGAATTCCAAGCAGGCTCCAGGCTCTGAGCTAGCTGTCAGTACAGAGCCCACTGCAGGGCTCAAACCCACAAACCATGAGATGACCTGAGCCAAAGTTGGCGCTTAACTGACTGAGCCACCCAGGCTCCCCTCAGATTCTGTTGTCTCCCTCCCTCTCTCACTGCCCTTCCCCCTCTCACACTCTGTCTCTCTGTCTCAAAAATAAATAAACCACCAAAAAAAAAAAAAAAACCCAAAAAAAACCAAACACATGTTTGGGAGCTTTAATTAGGAATTCTAGGAGGAATTTGGGTTGAGGTAGCACATAAGTAAAATTAACCAGGATTGTTTCTACAGCTTTCTTGGCTTTAAGGTTCCTATTTCTGACGATGTCGTTTTACTTAGTCCAGTGAGGGGTTCCTTTTATTGGGAGATTTATTTCATTTCGAGGGGACAGAGGAGGGTCTAAGTGTCCTTGCATGTGCTGTTTCCCACGTAGCTTCCATTCAAAATAATACGCCGTTGTAAAGTTGGGTCTAGTGGCCCTTGGCCCTTTTCTTAGCTGGTGAATGTAGGGTATGAGAGAATAGGAACATTCTTGGCAAATCTCAGTGATTTTAACCACTGCATCCAGGATGGTAATGCCAGTTGCTCAAACGGATATGGATATGGAAGTAACACGTTTTGGGGAGCATCACAGGGTCAGCTGTGGACATGCAGAATTCGGGATGCCTATTACATATCTAAAAGGAAAGTAGACCCTGTACAGCTGGACATATGAATCTGCAGTTCAGGGATGAGGTCTGGGCTGGAAACATTATTGGGAGTTGTCAGAGTATAACTGCCATGATGCTATGAGAGTGAAAAAGCCACGTGGGAAGATGAGCTCTCTTAGGAAAGAGGGTTGGTAATGAAGAGAAGCAGTTCAAGAACTGAGCCGTAGGTCAGATAAGTAAGGAGTGTTTGGTCTGTATTCATGATATGTGGATATGTCACTGATGGTTTTACAAGTGCTTCTGTAAGTCTGCCTTTCTCCTGTGAGTCTCAGAACAAGCAGAATAAATATTCTTGTATTACAGATGGGGAAAGGTGCCCTCAGCCATGAGTATGCCATAACAGTGGGGCCCTCACTCAAATAATCTGTTGAAGTAAGAACCATGAGAGATCACTCTGGAGATCCACCGGTACATCTAGGCACCCTTCTTAAAATGCACCCACCTTCCGCATATATTTTGCATGCAATTCCAGGGAGTTCTCAGGCTTCCTGAAGCCTGTTTGTGGATGCCATCAGAGCTCTGTGTCGGACGCTGCCTTTTCTCTTCCCTTACCTTCACCAGCTCCTGATCTGAGAAGTGGACCCTGAGGACACACATCTCTGGTTCTGTGGGATTTGTGTTCCTCGATTGTTGTGGAGATGCTGTCTACACAATAATGTAGAAGTTAAGTCATCAGCCCAGAGACTTCCCTTGAACTTCAGACTCAGAGTCCCAGCGACCCACCTGACTTCTCTACTTGGAGGCCCATTAATATCCATCTCCAATTCCGTCCTCACCACCACGAGAACAGCCTCTGTCATCCACATCTTGAATTTGGAAAATGGCGAGTCCGACCTTTCAGCTGGAGTTGTTTTCGATTCTCCAGCCCATAATTCGTCCTGTCAGCTGTACCTGGAAGACACAGCAAGAAGGCGAGCATTTCCCTTCCCGGCTCTTTCCCGTTGCTGCTGCTCTGGCCCAGCGGCCTCACGCCCACCTCTAGTCCTACAGCCCCTTCGGCCTCTGCTTCTGCTTCTGCTCTCCTGTAGTTCACGCAGCAGCCAGAGGGATTGTACTGAAGTGTAAATCACATCAAGTCACTTCTTGATGAAACCCTCCAATGGCTCTCATTTCACTTAAAGTGAAAGTCAAAGTCTTTTAAGTGGCCTACAAGCCTTACTGGCCCTTGTTACCTCCAATCTGTCTACACCCCCTCTCCTTCTTAGCCCAGTAACACTGGCCCTGGAACTTTCTCAAACAGGCCAAGTACACAGATCTTTCAAAGACTCTTCCATCTCCCTGGGCCTCTCAGCTCCCAGATCTTTGGAGGCATCGCCTCTCACTTTCTTCACTTTTTTATTCAAATATCCTTTCAGGGAGGCTGTCTGTGATGACAGTCCAGCCCCTGAGCACCCCAGTCTGTTTTTATCTGCTTTTGAGAAGCTTGCAGTCTATTTGGAAAGTCAGCACACACTCCCATGAAATGCAAAGCAGAAATGCACACTGTCAAGGGTGTCCAAAGAGCATAACTCAAGTCTGCACTGGAAGACCTAAGTGGACGCTCACACAGGCTCATGCTCAGTTCAGGGGACCTGTCAGGGTGCGACGGGGATCTGGGCTTTACTCTGGACAACAGGGAACTCTGCAAAGTGGTTTCTCCTTTTGGTCTTCCCTACAGCTTGATTTTCTCATTGTGGAACAATTATCTTTTTCAAAACCCACTGTTGCTCTTAGCATATTGTATTTCAATGGCGCGTGGGTATATCTTTCCTTGTTAGAGTGAAAGTGCACTGAAACTCTCAAGTGCCTGGATAAGTAGATGGGAATGAAATGAAGATTAAACAAATTTACAGTTAATGAAACAAAAGACTTCAGGGTACATGAGGCGCCTGGGTGGCTTAGTTAAGCGTCCGACTTTCGCTTAGGTCATGATCTCGCGGTTCGTGGGTTTGAGCCCCGCGTCGGGCTCTGTGCTGACTGCCAGCTCAGAGCCTGGAGCCTATTTCAGAGTCTGTATCCTCCCCTCTCTCTGACCCTCCCCTGCTCACGCTGTCTCTCTCTCTCTCTCTCTCTCTCCTAGAAATAAATAATAATAAAAATATTTAAAAAATAAAAAAAAAAAGACTTCAGGGTACACAAGTAACCTTGCAGAAAGGGAAAATATTTCTAGAAGGATCCATTGAAATATAAGTTTTGTGTGTATCAACGGTGATTTTGGCAAAGTGCCCTGCTTTGTCCCCTGTGAGCATCTATAGACTTTTGGGGTCTCAGGGGTAATTTTTCTTTCTTATAAACAAAACCCAGTACAAGCAACATTCAATAGCTTAGGAGGCTTCTGTCGTTTTGTGGGAAGTGACGTGATTCCACCAATACAATTGTACATTTTACTTTATTAGCTTTGTGATTTATAATTCTCAATGTATACAAAGGAATATCTTAACTACATATACGAACTGGAAAGGATAATATGATGATGACCACATTAGAACCCAACTGCCAACTGGGTTACACAAATATTACCAACAAGTTGCTTTGATCTACTTTTGTCCTCCTTCTAAACCCCACCAAAGATAACCATGGTCTTGAATTCTGTCATTTTCTTGCCCTTTTTTCTTATCCTTTTAAAATCACACATGCGTTTAAATCTAAACAATATGTGGCTTTGTTGCTTAGTCTTTGTTATCAAAGAATGGCGTCTGTGGAAGAACGTCCTATCGTTCCAGACATCAGCAGCTCCGTCTGATGAGAGGATTTTATTTCCTGCCCCAGTGCCATTAGGCTTGCTCACGGGATTTGCTAGGGTCAGTGAATGTGAGTGAAAATGACATGTGCCAATCGGTAAGCCATTGCGTGGTCTGTCTCTGTTCCTTCATCATGGTTCTTAGGCTGACGACATGTGGACTCAAGCGGTAGCTGACCCAAAGTCAATAAACACGTGCAAAACATAAACCTTTCTTGTAGTAAGTTACTGGGATTTTGGGATTGTTTACCCAAAACAAATGGTTTGACACCGTTTTTATATCGCATCTGGTTTCTGGGAATTGCTTTATTCAGGGAACATTGATTTGCCAGGTTGTCACATGTGGCGAAAGCTCGTTTGCTTTCATGGCAATGTTAGATTGTGTGATCAGGCCTGATTCTGTCACAATTCACCTGTCTATCTGTTGGTTGACAGTTGCTTTGTTGGCTGCCTTAAGAAAATTATAGGAGGCTTTGTTGGAATACGAAAGATCAAGTACACTTTTCATCGTGTGGATTACTTCATAATATTCTGTTAACAATATTAATATGTGTGTGGGTTACTTGTAATAATAGAATATAAGGCTTAAAATATGTGGAAGTGAGAAGGAGATATACTTTCAGGGGAAATAGTCAAGAAATCTGCTTTAACCTGGGCCCCTTCTCTGATTCGCTGAGCTGATTCAGAGACACTGTTTTCAATTCTGAAACGAAGGGACTTAAGCAAATCAGCAGTTGCCAAATGCTCATCTATGGACAGTGTTGGTCCCGGCCACGTTTCTCTATTCTGTGTAAAAATGAGAAACAGAAGTTCAGTGTAGTAAGTTTTCCTTAATATTAAAACTTAATTAAATTTATTTGGTATAAAGGACCACATTTGTTTGGTATAAAGATTTCTTATTCTGAGGCTATCTGTATTCCCTTTGAGGATCGTTCTTTTCTGAAATGAGATTGATTGTCTTTGAAGTTCTTGGCCACAGCACAGCCATCTGTAGGGTGGCCCTGGCTTTCCGTCGTCTGGGAAGGATGGTGAGCAGCAATTCCGTGATTCTCTTCTAGCTTTAGAAGTGCAGCTGCTTTTTTCTGAAGACGATTCTTCATTCTGGCCAGACACTACAGGGAGATTAGGCAAAGAGAACAGGAGGCATGGGAACAAACAAGGAATAAAAAGTTACTAACAGCTCTCATGTGAGTTTCCAGTGTCCCTTCCTCATAATCCATCACCTCTTACTGTTAAATGAGGCACCCCTAGTTCAGGTGAGGTATGAGGAAATCCCTGGACAATCAGTCACCTGTTGCTTGTACTGGGGGGTAGGGGCAGGGAAGTCTCATGGTCACAGGCAGTAGGTTGTCCTTAAAAGAGTTCAGGGTAAAGAGATACTTTTAAGGAGGGGTGCAGACTATTAGAAGGGGTTTAGATGGGCAGACAAAGAACCCAACCTGGTGTCACATGGCTTTATACTTTTGTGGCTATCTGCCTTGTTCAAGGCCGTAGGACTCAGATCCTAATACGGGCACCTTTCCTACCACTTCATCCAGAAGCTTTAGCCAGAGCTAATATTTTGGATGACTTTCCTCTGTGCAGGTACTGTGCTAAATGCTCTGTGATCTTTTATTGATCATCAGCAATACCATGCAGTAGGTACTAATTATTAGTCCCATTTTAGAGGTAAGGAAATATTCACTTAAGTTTTAAGAAGTTTGCTCAAATTTAGCCTTGAAACAGGCTGCCAGGACTTACCCGTCTTAAGAGATTCCTCCTCACACCAGGCTTGTGTATTTCTTTTCATGAATACATTATTTTCAAATGTACTTAACAGTACCTTTGGAGAGCAAGTACTGAATGCCTTCATGGCACATGGGGCTTAGCAAATCTTCACAAGCCCAATACAAAACTGAGTCACTTATTTAATGCTCATGGAAATTTACCATGTAGGCATTTGTAGATAAAGATGTGAAGCTAGTAAGTAGGAAATGAGATTTTTGAGCTGTTTTACAGCACCAATGCTCATCCTTTCTCCTCTCTACCACAGTGCTCAGAAAAGTTAAATTTGCTTCCCATGTGATTCTTACCTTCCATATCCATAATGTATATTGCATATAGTAGCTATTGATGTAAGGGGCTGCTTAACCTTAATTCCTCAGGTCATTCACTTGTACACTGGGAGATTGTTTCATGGGTGATTATAGATGGAGATCATGCAAAGGACAAGTACAGACATGTAAATTCCTTTGAAAGCTTCTTCCTTAAAATGAAATCCTAGGTAATGAAGTAACTTTGGACAAGGCTATTCAGGACTCACGGAAGTTTAGGAAGAACTCTGGGACTCCCCCCACCTCCTGTTATCCAGTTTTAGGTAGTGTCTCCTTCACCCTCGTACGTTGAGCCAGGTAAAAAACGCTAGTGGAGAGAGCTCCTGACCTTGCCCAGAGGCAGTATTTAGCTACGTTACAATTTTTGGTGAATTCGTGGAATCGGGACAACGTAGGTTAGAGGACTGACTAGCAGATCCACTACCGGTTAGAAAGGCAGGCTGCAGAGGACACTTCGCTCCATTAAATGCCGCTGTGGTCACTCACAAGCCAACAGCAGATTACAAAAAGGTGGTTTTGTTTTTTCTCGAGTACTTCTCATGAGTTTGGGCCACTCGAAACTAGGACTCCAGCCAGGTTGTCCTACAAGTTACTGCCCCCAAGGTGGTGGGGAAAACAAAATAAAACCAAAGTCAGGAAAACGAAATTCTCGAGGTGGGGGCATCTCTAGGTCCCCTCCTTTCAGGAACTGCGAAAGTAGCCAAGCCAAATGCATCATAATCAAACTGTTGGGCCGCACACGCCCGGTTACTTCTGTCCTCGGACTCTAAGGTTATGAATACTCAAAAAATCAAAGGCTAAGTGCAACTAACCATTTTCACAAGTTTGGAAAGTTATAGCTCTTTTAAGTGGCAATATGGGTGGCTCTTAAAAGAGCCTGAAATCGCTGGTGTCGTTGTGGCCAACAAGTTTACTTGGAGCTGGTGTACTTGGTGACGGCCTTGGTGCCCTCGGACACGGCGTGCTTGGCCAGCTCGCCGGGCAGCAGCAGGCGCACGGCCGTCTGGATCTCCCGGGACGTGATGGTCGAGCGCTTGTTGTAATGCGCCAGGCGCGACGCCTCGCCCGCGATGCGCTCGAAGATGTCGTTGACGAACGAGTTCATGATGCCCATGGCCTTGGACGAGATGCCCGTGTCGGGGTGCACCTGCTTCAGCACCTTGTACACGTACACCGAGTAGCTCTCCTTGCGGCTGCGCTTGCGCTTCTTGCCGTCCTTCTTCTGCGCCTTGGTCACCGCCTTCTTGGAGCCCTTCTTCGGGGCTGGAGCGGATTTCGCAGGCTCAGGCATTGCGTCCAAACACTCCTAAGCAAACGCGAAGAAGATACGCCTACGAGCAAGCGACCTCTTTTTTATTTGGTGTGTATGCAAATTAGGGATTGCAGAATTACGATTTCTGATTGGCCTCTTAAGTATCTTAGCTGCTGATAAGCTCCTTCTTTATCCTAAACTCTCATTGGCTCTTCCCCATAGTTCCTCTATGAATACATTGACCTTTCTACCATAAACGTTTTATGTAAATTGGAAGCAGGTTTGTCTTGGATGTGCTTTTTTTGATTGGCTGGAATTTGTGTTCGGCCAATCGCATAGGCTGCTTTACCAAACCTCTGCAGACTATAATAGTCTAGCTTCTTTCTCCTTAAGCTCAGTTTTTCTTTTTCTCTCGTCGTACTTTTCTCTCGCCGTTATGTCCGGACGCGGGAAGCAGGGCGGCAAGGCGCGCGCCAAGGCCAAGACGCGCTCGTCGCGGGCCGGGCTGCAGTTCCCGGTGGGCCGCGTGCACCGCCTGCTGCGCAAGGGCAACTACGCCGAGCGGGTCGGGGCCGGCGCGCCCGTGTACCTGGCGGCCGTGCTCGAGTACCTGACGGCCGAGATCCTGGAGCTGGCGGGCAACGCGGCGCGCGACAACAAGAAGACGCGCATCATCCCGCGCCACCTGCAGCTGGCCATCCGCAACGACGAGGAGCTCAACAAGCTGCTGGGCCGCGTCACCATCGCGCAGGGCGGCGTCCTGCCCAACATCCAGGCCGTGCTGCTGCCCAAGAAGACCGAGAGCCACCACAAGGCCAAGGGCAAGTGAATCTATCTAAATCCCAGGACACAACTACAAACATTTCTAACCCAAAGGCTCTTTTCAGAGCCGTCCACAATTTCGCATAAAAAAGCTGGTAGCTCTAACAACGTTACTTTGTGTTAAGACGTTAATGACTACAGCTTCTGATTGCAGTTTGTTCGCTGGAAATTATTTTGGTTCGTGAATGGGGTCTGGGGAAACGGGACTTTCAAACAATAAGCCTAGTATCGCTGCGGAAGCCACTTAGAGCAGTGGGTTAATTGCTCATCCGGATAGGTGGACTCCCATGTTGCCTAGGCTGTGTGCTTAACAAGTTAAGACTTCACCAGTAATAGGGAAACAAAGCGCATAGTGAAACGAACCCTGTGGGAATGGTGTGCGGGGGTGGTAACCCGGGAGTGCATTTACAAACAGCATAACCACAGGACCGAAAATTGGAGTAGGCTGTTGCAATTCTGAACCGAAAGCAGCACTATTCTATTTGGCTACGACAAGAAACTCCAACATTTTGTTACGCACTGGTGATGTCCTGTTGTCTTCGTGACGAGGCGTCTTACCTGTGGTTTCCCAGAGTGGACATAGGAAGTGGCAGTCAAGGCCACTCAAGGGTCAGTTCAGTAAAAATAACCATCTGAAAAGAACAAAATATACATAAATCAGTTCTGGAAACGTAGTGCTCGGAGCCTCAGGCCCCGTTACGGAGGTCTCGTTCAGAACTGGCATCTTCCCCGACCTCCCAAGTGATTTCTTACAACTTAAGATGAATTGAACCACAATAAACAGAATGAACAAGCGCCTATGATCCCTGACTTTAACAAAGACTACCGGGGATTGGAATGAGGAATAAATCATCCAATCGGAGTCCGTTTTAATTCACCAATCACGTCTTTCACTCTAGCCAATGGTTTCGGTGCGCGGGACTTTTGAAAAATGCAAGACCAATCGAAATGTTTCTGAGTATATATAAAGGCAACGCCTTTGGCCTTTTCTGTCACTTTGGCTTTCTCCCTTCAGTTTCTTTGAGATGGCTCGCACGAAGCAGACGGCGCGCAAGTCGACGGGCGGCAAGGCCCCGCGCAAGCAGCTGGCCACCAAGGCGGCCCGCAAGAGCGCGCCGGCCACGGGCGGCGTCAAGAAGCCGCACCGCTACCGGCCCGGCACGGTGGCCCTGCGCGAGATCCGCCGCTACCAGAAGTCCACCGAGCTGCTCATCCGCAAGCTGCCGTTCCAGCGGCTGGTGCGCGAGATCGCGCAGGACTTCAAGACCGACCTGCGCTTCCAGAGCTCGGCCGTCATGGCGCTGCAGGAGGCGTGCGAGGCCTACCTCGTGGGGCTCTTCGAGGACACCAACCTGTGCGCCATCCACGCCAAGCGCGTCACCATCATGCCCAAGGACATCCAGCTGGCGCGCCGCATCCGCGGCGAGCGGGCCTAAAGCTTTCCCCATCATTGGTTCCAACCAACTCAAAGGCTCTTCTCAGAGCCACCCACTTTATCTGTAAAGTTGCTGTAACTTTGTTCATTTTAAGCAGTCTTGGTTTTAGTGGTATTGGAGACTTTGGTGTTTGCTTTGGGTGTTTGTTTTTAATTGTTTAGGTTGGTAGTTACCCTTAGTCGGCCGTGTTCTGCAAGAGCTCCCCTTATCCTCCTTAGGGTGTTCTAAACCCCTTAGTGAGCAGATAGGCGATTTGCAAAAGTCCGAAGATAGTCCTGGGAAGGGGGATTGGGATGTAAGTTCCGGAGCCTGGGGGTTAGGGGTGCTGTCTTGGCCGTGGTAGCTGCTATTAGGTGGTCTGCAAGGGTGAGTAACAAGGTTAATGGACACGTGGAAATTGGGGCCTTTACTACCAAAAAGTAAACTTGGGTGCTGGTGCCTGTGCATTTGCTGTGTACACCTTGGATGTAAGGAACAAGTTCCCACATGTTTCGGGCATTGCCAGTTTGGAAACCATTGCTGTGTGGATGTGTTTAGTTGTTTTCTTCATGTCTGAAACCTCATTTTGGTCAATTCCTATCCCTAGAGTCAAAAGCGAATGTTTTCATTTTCCTGTAAAAGGACTTTTTTTTTTTTAAATATACAGAACAGTGCAGGCTGATCGTTGACTAAAAGGATTAGATGCAGGATTTCTAATGAGCCTACTGGTCAGAGCCTATAACAGAGTCCGGATAGTTTCAACCATTTGTAGAGATGAAGATTTTCACACCCCACCTAGGCCTAGTCAGAATCTGCATTGTACCAAGTTCACCTCATGTGATTGTCACTAACACCAGTTCAAGCAGCCCATTTTATAAAATGATATTTTTGGTCTCATGAAGAAAGCTACCTGTGAACTCTCACCAGGAATAATCATTTGCAAACAGCATGTTTATCTTAAGAGTTACATGTTCTCCAAATCAGTAGCAAGGACCTGGTAAAATAGTTTGATTTAATAGAGATCAGTGATCTCAATATTGATTGCACATTAGGAGATCAGTGAACTCGGGGTGCCTGGGTGGCTCGGTTAAGCGTCCGACTTCGGCTCAGGTCATGATCTCACGGTTCGTGGGTTTGAGCCCTGCTTTGGGCTCTGTGCTGACAGCTCAGAGCCTGGAGCCTGTTCCAGATTCTGTATCTCTTCCCTCTCTCTGACCCTCCCCTGCTCACGCTGTCTCTCTCTCCCCCTCAGAAATAAATAAAACATTTAAAAAAAAATCAGTGATCTCAATATTGATTGCACATTACAGACAATTGGAGGTTTTGTAAAAAAAATAATAACTTTGCCTGGGGCCTAGTCAGTACCATTTTAGTTGTAGTCTGTGCAGGTGATCCTAGACAATGGTAATTATTAAAACTCAAATGCTGCCAACAAGAGGCTAGGATCAAGATGAGGTGCTACATAAATTCCAGTCTTGTGAGCAGCTCCTGTTTACCTTCTGACTCCGGGTTTAGCAAGCAATTATATCTATAGAATCAGGCTTGTAGCTTGCTTTCAGAGAGAGTATACTGCCTTTTTTTTTTTTTTTTTTAATAGAATAGATTATCTGGCTTGCTTGACACCTGTTAATCTCACTGCAATGAATCAAATAGTATCTGGCTTTTGTAGGAATTTCTGAGGATAGAGCTGATGTGAGTCCATGATGAGAGGGCGGCTTTGGTCAATTGATAATACCAGATTAAAAAAATGTTTGTTTCAGTTTATTTATTTAGTTTTAGAGACAGCGAGAGAGCTAGCACGAGTGGGGTATGGGGTAAGGGACAGAGAGATAGGGAGAGAGAATTCCAAGCAGGTTCTGTGCTGTCAGTGCAGAGCCCAATGAGGGGCTCATGAACCGCGAGATCATGACCTGAGTAGAGATCAAGAATCAGATTCTCAACTGACTGAACCACCCAGGCACCTCGACAATCCCAGATGTTAAGGGATACTACAGAGAGGAACATTCTGGACTTCCTGGCAGACAATCTGTGGATACGTCATACTGGGCACGAAGTGCTGTTTGGGTATTCACCTGGTCTTACTCCAAGGTCTTTGTTTATTAATCTTCTCACCCCTGTCTTTGCCCCATTCTTTTCATTTTTAAAACTTTTTTTATTATGTGACATTTCAGAATATATGAAAGTAGAAGTAACGGGTTGATAAACTCTGTATACCCTGTACCAGCTTCAACATATACATTTTATCTATACCTCTTCCACCCCCCTGCCTTGATCATTGCCAAGAAAATTGTATCATTTCCGCTCTCAATATTTAAAAGCACGTCTACCATTTTAAAGCCTAATTACGATGCCATGATGATTTCCCTAACAAACGTTTCTCAACATTGATGAATTTAAAAATGTATTTACTCCACCCACATATTTGTTTGGCATTTACAGTGTGCTAGGTGTTGTTCTGTGCATCGGGAATATACTCAGAACAAAACAGAATTCTCAGCCCTTGGGGAGTTTACATGTGTGTCTAGGAGGGACGGACAACAAACGAGATGAATAGCAGAGGTAGTACGGTAGACGGTAAGGAGAAAAATAAAGGTGGAATAAGGAGTGTCACGGGGAGTTGAAATTTAGATGAGACTTAAATTTGAAATTTAGTTGAAATTTAGGCCTATGAAGACTCCGATACAAGCATAGACTTGAACGCAGGGGAGAGGAGAGAGGAGGGGAGGGAGGCTGAGGGTGCTGGCTGTATCGAGTAGGCGGGGCACAGTAGGAGGAGATGAAGACAGAGATAGAAAGAAGCCAGATCGAGTAGGGGCTTGTAGACTTTAGCTCTAAGAGGCTAGGCCTTGGGAGGAGTTGAACATAGGAATTTCTGCCTGTTTCTCAGTTAAGCAGGTTCTGTTTTATACTTAGATACTCCAGTTGTTTTCCAGGACAGAAATTAGGGCACAGTTTTCTTTCTATCCAGAGCTTGCAAATAGAAGCTGACCTTTATTTAACATTTTTTTTTTTAATGTCTTTATTTATTTCTAGGAGAGAGAGAGAGAGAGCGTGAGCAGGGGAGGGTCAGAGAGAGAGGGAGACACAGACTCTGAAACAGGCTCCAGGCTCTGAGCTGGCAGTCAGCACAGAGCCCGACGCGGGGCTCGAACCCATGAACCGCGAGATCATGGCCTAAGCGAAAGTCGGACGCTTAACCGACTAAGCCACCCAGGCGCCCCTATTTAACATTTTATATTTAGGGAGAAAGGGGAAAATCTATGTAGGTTAGGGGTTAAATGCAATTCATACCCTGGTACTTCAGATTTACTAGTTTTAGGGCCACAGGCAAAATGTTTACCCTCAGGTAACAAACTCCATTTGTTTGAATTGCAAATTCATGATTACAGACACGATGTCTATGTCTGATGTCTTCGGGGACTAGGCTAGAGGCTCCTGTGTCAGGAACAGTGGCGAGCCACCCGCTGCATTTCACTGGGTAAGTCAGTCAGCACCAGTGTTTCTGGCTGGATCTACGCCCGCTGATGCCAGGTCCACACTCTGGGTGGCATCTCTGTCTCTGTTAGGTCATTTGCCAAATAGAGACGTTAACAATACCTGTCTTGGGAATTGTCTAGGTGGTAAAAGAGCCATGACTTCCTTAGTTCAAAAGTGTGCTTTGGTGCCTACATAGATCATTTCATTTAATCCACACAGTAACTCTGTGGGTTAGGGCCATTATTAGCCCAAATGCAACGATGAAGAACTTGAAGCCTAAGCGAGGTGAACTACTTCACACAGGTGCTCGTTTGGATAATTGAGTCATGGATTTTTATCTCTGGTGCTAGAGAATGGATGACCATTGTGTGTTACATGCATATTTTAATTTTACTTTATCTGAATATTCATCAAATACTTTTTGCGTGCTTACAGTTTTCCCTCCATTGTTGTTCGAGGTGCTGGAAATAGCAGCGAATAACATGAGTAAAGTTCCCTCAGGGTGGAGCTCACTGACATTGTCCTTGTCGTTGTGGGAGGCAGGAAATTAAAAAATAAACAAATGCAGTATTTGGATGAGTAAAGAGATTAAAGAGCTGAATAAACAGGCCAAGCAGATTAAAGAATGCCAGGGAGTGGGAGGGATGAGTGATGGAGGGTTGTAGTTTTAAATAGGGTGGGTGGGGAAGAGTTGCCCACTAACATGCCGCTGAGGCAGGCGTTTTTCATGTTTTTAAAAAGTATCACTCCAGGCTCCTGAGCACACAATTAGGATGGTGAATCGAAAGGCAAGGGCAGGAGTAGATGAATGTTAAACTCATGGAGGACTGCCAGCCCGATTCAAGGGGACTAATAATGGTGTGATAGTTTATTTAAAATGAAAAATGAGAGATTCTAGGTTCCAAATAATCATTGTCCTTATTTTTCAGATGAAAGAGTACAAACAAACTGAATGGTTCCACACAATGGCCAAGGTCACCCAGCTAGTGAATGAAGGCACAAATTTCAGCCCAGGTAGTGGCCTCGAACGCCTCCAATTTTCAGCACATCTTATCGGTCTTCTGTGGTTGCGTACATTATGATTTCCTCTATGAGACAATATTTCATGTCCTAGATAAGAGACCATGCCTGGTTCACCTGTGTGGTTTGACTGAATGATCGACAGTGACAGCGAGTGAGGCATTTCAGGCACGAGCAGCTTTGAGGAACATGTCACGGTACCTCCAAATGAGAGAGAGCAGAACTTTGTAGAACAAAAGGCGAGGACTGAATCTTCTAGGGGGTTCGATGCATAAAGAATGTTACCCTAGTGGTTATCTCTTCTGAGCGAGTTGAGAAAATCCACCCAGGTAAAAGACAGGACTGAAGGCAGGACTGAGGCAGGTAAGGCTGGAATTTGTGTACCAGGTGGCTGCGCTCGGAAGCTACAAGAAAGCCAGCGGGGGGTCGCTGGACTCCAAACTCAGCCTGAGCTTAGTCACTGGTTTTGAGTCTGACCCTGTTGGTCTCCCTCCATCTTCCAAGGTGTTTTCCGGAGCTCCCAAGCCCCGTGCTGATCGCACACCCTTCGACTGGGATTCCCAAGGGCCACGAGCCCTGTTCATCTCAAAAAGAAATTTGAGTACTAAACTTGTACCATTTTATTTTCTCCAAACCTGAAACAATTATTGCCAATATTTATTCGTTTGTGTCGTATCAGGAAGCTCCAGTGTCTTCCTGAGGTTGTAAGAACTCATCGGTTTCCTTCTTTTTATACCGTCTTTAGGTAAGAGTGGTGGCGGGGACAGCCACACAGTTGTTCCCTGAAATTGGCTTTCCTTGCTTATGTAGCAATGCCACTTCCCCGGCTTGCTTTGTAGCTCGTGTGGCCATCAAGTATTTTTGGCCAATGGTATATTAGCAAAGGCAGGCTTACACCATTCTCAGGATTTCAATAAACGGAAGGGAAGCCCCCTTCCTCTCCCTTCAGGACAGGATGCAAGCAAGATAGTTGTAGCTGGAGCAGACACCCTGGACTACAAGGTATAAGAATGACAGCTAGAAAACCAAGGTAGGAAGTTACCTTCATGTCTCCTTTTTTTTTTTTTTAATTTAAAAAAACTGTTTATTTATTTTTGAGAGAGAGAGAGAAAGAGTGCGAGTGGGGAGGGGCAGAACTTGAAGAGGGCTCCTGGCTCTGACCTCTGAGCTGCCAGCACAGAGCCTGACGCGGAGTTTGAACTCATGACCGGTAAGATCATGACCCGAGTGGAAATCAGACGCCCAACCAACTGAGCCACCAGGCGCCCCACCTTCACGCCTTCAAATATACTACCAGGCAGGCCATTTCTGGGGACACAGCCTCCCATACTGGCTGCCCGTGACATCCCAAGCAGCCCTGCCCTTTACCGGGTGTTTGTCTGCAGAAGGCAAATGGGGCTAAAGCGGAAGTCACCAGTGAGTGGCCAATTTAAGACTAACTACTGAATATTTCATAAATATTTTGTGTCTCACAAACACTAGCATTTCTCGCTTGTTTCATCTCTTTCCACTCCGTGGAGCACATGAGCTCTGCTCATTTTCTCCATGTATAACATGTCTTACAGGCAACACATTTACGATTTTTAGTTACTACAGCTTTTGTATTTTGTCTCCATCTCATAAAATTGCTTGCTTACCCATTAACACTTATACGTTTCTCACTTAGGAATTACCTGCTTAATATTTCTTATGAGTTTCAGCCATCCAGTTTGTTGGTCTTGTGCCAGTGTTCCATAGCAGAATTCTATAACAGAATCCTCCAGAATAGAGCTAACACGCATTATGTAAAGGGAGATGAGTTCTTTAAGGAGACCCCCCCATCCCAGGTCTGAGCTATCCACCTGTTCATGAGAGAGAAACTGACTCTATCTACTTGAACCAGTGACTATTTTAGGTTGTCTGTCACTCCCAAGGGTGTACATAAAAAAGTCCTTAAGAGGATTACTGGACAAGATCTAAGATAGCGTTCCTTTCTGCATTTCAGTAAGATCCTACGTACAAGTGCACACCTCTTGTACACAATGCCTGTGAACCAAAAGTGAGTCGTGGCCAGATGAAAAGTATAAATATATAGCCCCTGTTGTTAGCTCTAGTCCATAAACACAAACTGCATGTTTTTTCTGCATATTGATTCTTCTCTCCTTCTAGCCATCTCTTCCCTTGCCATGGTCTTACTCAGGATTGAATCCATTCCATTTTGGCAGTGCTGAAGTGACCTTCAGAAAGAGGTTTGCCCTTTATGTTAGTCTGTGAGATTCCTATTTAAACGACCATTTTAGACTCGGCGCCCTGTGTGGTCAAAGATTATTTCTATCCTGCACAATGCGCTCTTCGCCAAGTACCTGTTACTTTCTGAAGTTCGCTTTCTGAGGCTCTCAATACATGAACAAATAAACTCAGAGTCCCAGTCCTTCCATTCAGCACGTCATTTAGGGAAGAAAGTTAGACACACTCAGATCTGTGACCCTAGAACGCTGTGCACTAACCACCTGCCTTGGTTCATACTCCCTGATCCACCAGAGAAATGTCTAGGAGGGTGGACTTATCAACAGTGAGGACAGTAACTGAAGGACTCAGGTTGACATTAGTCTCAAGGTGTTTTGTAAACATACGGCTGACATTGTATTCTGTTAAGGACTCCTATCAAGCTTCTTAAGGGAGGATGGCTTCTGTGGGGGCTCCCAAACACATTACCATAAAATAAGAGGCATTGTCTCCTTCCTCTTAGAAATCCTGTTTACACTTTTTCAAAGCCTGAAATGCCTCAATCACTTGCAGAGTAACAGCTTAAATTTGGAGTTATTCTTCAATAGTTATCTATCCTTTAAGTTCAGTGAAGTCTCCCAACCCCTTCCAGTTACTAGAAATTTAGCTTCTCACGCTATCAGGTGTACCTGAACAATGACTCAGACTCACCAAACACAATATGCTCTCTAGACAGGCTTGTCTATAAAGGATGCCAACATGTAGAACTCGACCAGGACTACCCAAGATTTCTCAGCTACAAGCCCTGACAAAAGCTCTGCCAAGTTAACTTCATTTTCTGAAGCTCTTAAGTTATGCAGCCGAATGCTTTGTTCTCAAAACAAGTTCTTCTGTTCTGTGCTTGCTAAAACCACCCATTTCAAGAACACAGGGTACGGAGAAAACAAGAATGGGAATGTTAAGATGGATAAGGATCTCAACTGCCACATAGTTCTTAACTAATACTATAATACAGTTCAGCATCAAGGCTCTTTATGTGAAAGGTTGAGTGGCTCTGAAAAGAGCCTTTGGGGTTGGGTAACAAGATGCTTACTTGGCAAGTTCACTTGGAGCTGGTGTACTTGGTGACGGCCTTGGTGCCCTCGGACACGGCGTGCTTGGCCAGCTCGCCGGGCAGCAGCAGGCGCACGGCCGTCTGGATCTCCCGGGACGTGATGGTCGAGCGCTTGTTGTAATGCGCCAGGCGCGACGCCTCGCCCGCGATGCGCTCGAAGATGTCTTTGACGAATGAGTTCATGATGCTTATGGCCTTGGACGAGATGCCTGTGTCGGGGTGCACCTGCTTCAGCACCTTGTACACGTACACCGAGTAGCTCTCCTTGCGGCTGCGCTTGCGCTTCTTGCCGTCCTTCTTCTGCGCCTTGGTCACCGCCTTCTTGGAGCCCTTCTTCGGGGCCGGAGCCGACTTGGCTGGTTCAGGCATGGTTCACAGACGTGTCAGAAAAGCCTGAAGACTGAAAACTGAGTGTAGCGCTGGCACACTTTTATATGGCTCGTATGCAAATAGTAGCTTAATCTATCTTAACTACTGATTGGAGCAAATCAACCAGTAGAAACATCTTATGTAAATAAGGTGATTTCTAATCTACTGTTTGATTGGCTGTGTGGAAGCAACTCTAAACTCTTTTCTCCATCATGAGAAAGTTTTCATTTTCAAAATTGCCAAAGTTTAATGTCTTGTCAGTAGTGCTTGTTTATGAGCCTTGTGTCTTACTAGATCCCGACCTAAAGAGACAAAAATCTGTCAGAAATGTATGACACCGTGTTCCTGGCAAATTGCAGTTGCCCGAGTACTAAATGCAATAAAGAGAGCCCAAAAATTAGCTAAGTCTTTAAATATTAAAAAAGCTATGCCATGGTATTACCAGTTTGGTTTGACAAAAGTTGGCCAAATTTAGGCTTTTTCGCGAATTTAACAATCGTCACCTTTCGACAGCGGTAAGATTTTTATGTTGCCTAGGAACAGTGTCTGGAAGTGATGCCAATGTTTGTTGGTGTGTTTGTATGGAATACGGTGCTTTCATTGCTACTATAAAACGTTTCTTCAAGGTCAGAAGCTTTGAGAAATGACAGGATGAAACTGAACGGGGCCCATCACGTCCAGACGGAGAGCTTCTGAAACCGCTCAGGAACTGCAGAGTTTTCATTTTCATCTCTTCCCAAACTCAATTCCAAACAAGAGGATTAAAACCAGTTAAGGTACCGCGAAACATTAAATAAAGATTGAATAAAAGACGGAGAACTCTAAGAAGATAAGCATATTTCGGTATTTCAAGGTTTTCTAAAGTGAGTCCTGGTAGCCAATCAGAAGGCTCTGCAAGTCACTTAATTCACGGCGCGGAATTTGAAGAATCGGACCAATCAGGAGGACCTTGCCTTTATAAATACGAGCCAGCACGAGAGCACTTCTGGTTGTAATCCGTGCTTGCGCTTCCTCGCCATGGCTCGCACGAAGCAGACGGCGCGCAAGTCGACGGGCGGCAAGGCCCCGCGCAAGCAGCTGGCCACCAAGGCGGCCCGCAAGAGCGCGCCGGCCACGGGCGGCGTCAAGAAGCCGCACCGCTACCGGCCCGGCACGGTGGCCCTGCGCGAGATCCGCCGCTACCAGAAGTCCACCGAGCTGCTCATCCGCAAGCTGCCGTTCCAGCGGCTGGTGCGCGAGATCGCGCAGGACTTCAAGACCGACCTGCGCTTCCAGAGCTCGGCCGTCATGGCGCTGCAGGAGGCGTGCGAGGCCTACCTCGTGGGGCTCTTCGAGGACACCAACCTGTGCGCCATCCACGCCAAGCGCGTCACCATCATGCCCAAGGACATCCAGCTGGCGCGCCGCATCCGCGGCGAGCGGGCGTAGACTGGATCTGGTTTCTATGCCAACCTTTAACCCAAAGGCTCTTTTCAGAGCCACTTTCAGTTTCAGTTTGAAGAGCTGTGACCTTGGTAGGAAGTCTTCGCTACGGTTCCCTCCTTGTCCCTCCCCCGTGTTGAAGGCCCACTATGCGCGGCGGCATTTGCCACTTGAACTGCATACCTGTGGTCCCTTGGTAGCGGGGTTGGCTGCGCAGCCCCTGCTCTTCCATCTGAACACGCTCCGAGCTTTTCGATCCTTTGTGCCGTGTGCGTTCTTTTGGCCTGTTGTGCAGTACCCTCCCTGGAGGCTGCTTGACGTGTGTTGGCTCCTTCCAGCCCTCGATAATGGGAGTGTAGCGAAACGACATAAAGCCGCCTTGGATTGGAGTATTTAGCTGAACTAGCAAGTAATGCAGCGGCAAGGTCTATATCCGGTCCTGAGATAGAACTTGGGAAGTTAGTGTCCGGTCAAAACCTGATTTGTAGCTGGCTAGGGGCCGACCCTTAGGGGCAGCAGTGGATGCAGTCAGACGGGCATATTAGGACTGCGTCCTGCCGGCCACGCAGGCGTTCGTTTCCCCCTTTCCTTCTGAAGCGTCTCGGGGTGGGGGGAGGGGAGTGTGTGAGAGCGCATGCGCACACTGATGTTCCCGAGCCCTGCTGAGGGGTGCGGAAGAGCAGTTTGGTGGCAGTCCGTTTATGTCTTTACTGTGCAATGCATCCTCCAGTAGGGATCATCGGCCGTTCTGTGCTGGTACCTACCCCAAACCTGGGTTCCTCAGCGTTCCCGAGTCCGCCTTGCAGCGGCTCTAGCCGCAGTGTGGGCAGCGGCCTGTCTGGGCGGGCTGGGCTGGGCGGGGCGCCACTGCACCACCCCTGGCGCCTGGGGTCGGAGCGAAGCACGTTCCGCCCCCCAGGGAATCGGCTTGTTGCAGCTCCTAACTGAAAACGAGGTTGTGCAGAATGGCTGCACCCTGTATTGAAACCATGGAGTCTCTAAGGCAGGACTCAGACCTTTCACAGGTGGTGGTGAATAACTAATCCTCAAAGAACCAGGGAGGCAACAGCTGCCAGTTTTGCTCAAACACACTCACAATCCTACGACGAGCCCGGGGCCCTGCAGGATCTGTACGTGCAGTCAAGTTGTACCGACATCAGCAATGCGAACTGGTAGCCTCCAGCCAGGGCTTACCCCCTGCTGTGGGGATTCGTAAAGGGCTTTCAGGAACCAAGCGAACAGCTCTGCGCGTCCGTGGGAACACAAGTCCACGGCAGGAGCCTCGGGACTGGGGTGCCAGCAGTTTATCCAACAAACAGTAGAGTCTCTTGTTGGAGTGAATCCTCGGATTCAGAACCCAGAAGTCAAATGTCAGAAACAACTGGAATTATGGCTCAGTGCAGTGATATTGAACCTGGAAGCAAACTTGTAAATGGTAATAGCAAGAGCATGGGATGGCTTTGTGACTATTGGAAGGGGTATTAGGCTCCCAGGTACCATAGCAGCACTTTGTATCTTGAAAAAAATGTAATTTTAAGGTGGAATGCAGGAAATACACAACAGCCAGGGGCTGGGGCAAAACAAAACATTATATGTGAAAGTTCATAACAGTTTTACTTGCAGCAGCCCTAGATTAGAAACCACTTAATATCTTTCAATGGGTGTATGTGAAATAATTCATATATCTATCTGCCTGCGGAATCTTACTTGGTGGTGAAACGGAGGCTGGTGATCCAGGCAACCACCTGCATGGGTCTCAAGGGTATAATACGGAGGGAAAAAAGCGATTGGGGAGGAAACCGTTTTTCTCAGCCCTGGTAGGTTCTTTGGCTGTAATTTGATATAGAAACAAGTTAACAGGAGAAAAACAAACTTAATTACATAAGTGTGGGATTCCCATCAGAACCTGAGACCCAGGGATAAGGCTGTCAGTTGAAATTTATTTATTTGTTTACTTACTATCCATTCATTCATTTAAGTGTTTATTCATTCATCTTGTGAGAGAAAATCCCAAGTGGGCTTCACACTCAGCACAGAGCCCGCCGTGGTACTGACCTGATCTGAAATCCAGAGTCAGATGCTCAACCGACTGAGACACCCAGGCAGCCCTGTCAGTTGACATGGTTAGGCCACCCTGAGCTAATGGCATAGGGACCTGGGGCTTTAAAGGGAAATACAGCAACCTACAGATGGGTTTTTCGGATAAAAAATTATCCCTGGTAATAGCTGTCTTTCTGGGCCAGGCCCCCTATCTAAAATTTTTTTAGTTAGTTAAAGGAGAGATAAAAGATGGAAGAGGAAATATTTGGAAGATAAATGTTTACTATGGCACACAGATAGGTTTCAGATACAGAACTTGCCGTTGGTAACAGCCCAGAACAATTGTCAGGCTTTTTAGCCTCATGGATTTCATTTTAAATTTTTTAGGGCCTTCGGAGAATGGGCTCAATTCAAAGTGCAGTCCAAATAATTTATGAATGAGAATGCTAACATATTAAACTAAAATGGATGTTATGTCTTGAGTCGTGACCTCAGAGAGAGGAGGACTTCAATCTTTATAAGAGCTGTCGAGAGAGATTAGGTGACTCATCCAAGTAAGGTCACCTTGTCAGGTTTTCTGACGCAGTGCAGGCAGGAGACATTCCAGGGAAGAGGAGTGGGGCCTCGTGTAGGGATATTGCCTCTACTTGTATTCAGCGCACACCAGATGTCCTGAGCTCCGCATGTCAGGTACTGTGCTGGGCGCTGGTGACAGGGGACAGACACCACCAGACGCTCAGAGATGGTGGTTTCAGACGGGAAGCAGTGTTGTGAAGGTCATGAAACGGGTGATGTCACAGTGAGTTACTGGGGTGCACACTGTCGTTTTGGATCTGACAGCCAGGGACGCCCTCCTGGAGGGATGGCAGTGTACCTGAGATCCGAGTTCTTGAGAGAGCAAGGCCAAGGATGCTCTAGTCTAGACGACCGGCAGAGAGGAAAGTATCAAGGTGAGCAGCCTTGTGCGTCCGGGAACCAACAGGCCGCCGGTGTGGCCGGGGAAGACAGCCAAAGGAGGGGCCACCGAGCCAATGGACAGCTTACCAGGAAGAAAGTAGGCCAGGCAGCCAGGGCCCACAGCTAATAGGATCCTGCAGATGTTGGGAAGGAGTTTGGTTTTTATTTACGCAGAGGAGGAACACGATCTGGTGTAGGTTTCACGTGTCGATAGAGTCGCTCTGGAGACCTCACTGAGGACTTTCGTGGAGGGCGGAGTGGATGTCAGCGCAGAGCAGTGCGGGGCCGCTGCAGATGAGCAGGCAGGAGCTGAGTCAGCCTGAGATGAAGGCGCAGGGGAAAGTAGAGACGGAAACTGATTTTCACTCTGGGATACTTTTACTTGGAGGGCCAGCTAATCCTTAGACCCATTGCCCCCGTTTTCCTTTAACAATGCGGGATGCCTGGTGTCTCATTTAAAAAACGTGGTGTGTGTCTTCCAGTTACCTTGACAAGAATGATGCACTAATTCATTCTGTATCTTCTTTTATGTCAGTGGCATTTTCTCCTTCTTCTTCTTTTTAAATGTTTATTTATTTTTGAGAGAGAGACAGACAGAGCATGAGAGGGGGAGAGGCAGAGAGACAGAGGGAGACACAGAATCTGAAACAGGCTCTAGGCGCTGAGCTGTCAGCACAGAGCCCGATGCAGGGCTTGAACCCATGAATCATGAGATAGATTCATGAGATAGAATGGTGCCCCATTCTTTTTTCTTTATAATGTTTATTTTTGAGAGAGAGCATCTGAGTGAGAGAGGTGCAGAGAGAGAGACACTGAGAGAGAGAGAGAAACAGACAGACAGAATTCCAAGCAGGTTCCACATTGACAGCAGAGAGTGGGTCTCGAACCCACAAACTGGGTAAGATCATGACCTGAGCTCAAGTCAGACACTCAATCAACTGACCCACCCAGGTGCCCCTGTCAATGAATGGCATTTTAAAGCAATACCTCCTCTGTAGAATCTGTCCCTAAGCTTCAGGAGCTATATGAGCCATGGGAGTGCCCGAGCGAATTTGTACAAGTCACTTCATGTCTGAACTCCTGTAGAAAGAGGATAAACCACCCTACCTTCCTCACAAAAAACCGTTCTGAGGACCCCATGAAATACTCTGTGTACGCTCCGTTGGCTTTAAAGTACCATACACACGTGACTCACTGTGTTTTCTTAGTCTATGTACAGGGCCCAGCCAGAGAACCTAAAAGCAGTGGAGGAAAAAGATCCATGGAAACCTCCAAAAAGAGCTGAAGACTCTTCATGGGCGAAGGAGCAGTGTATGTAAAGGATACCGCTGATGGAAGGAAAGTTCCAAGTATGACGAGCTGTTCTGTATTATTAGCTGTAGAAGTCAGTGGGGGTGGGGGGAGGGGCCCGGAGAGGAGACCGCAGGTGAGCCCGGGCCAGGTAAAGCACAAGACTTGGATTTCAGTCTGCGGATGTTAGAAGAACCGGGGAAGGCTTTCATATTTTGTAGTTTTGCCCAGATGGCATAATGACGTGTGCCCATCACTCAGGTCTCTGCGGCCAGGGGAGGGGTTGTAGCGGGGAAGGATGCAGGCAAATCTGTGAGGACCCTGCGGCCACACGGAGGCAGTGGGAACAGGAGCAGGAGGCTGTGTAGGACCCGCACAGCCCCCCCCCCCCCCCCCCCCCCCCCCCCCCGCCTCTCGGGGTCTCTGCTGGGCCTCAGAGTTAAGCTGACATGAAACACATTACCAGGAGGAAAACACACAAATGTTACTTAATGTTTCTATGTGTCCGTGGGCATCTTCATAGGAAAACGAAGCCCTCAAAAGTGGTTAGGCCTACTGCCTACATACTAGGCTGAAGAAAGATTGGTAATCATGAAATAACAGCAAAAATCGAAGAGGAGAAGGGGGACAGAGGGCTATTTTAACACGGTCTGTGTGTACAGATTTCTCTCCACCATGACTCCTTGTTTCTGGTGATAAGTGTCACCCTTCTTGATAGAGGGGTGACACCTTTCACATGGGATACTTCTCTGCTTTCAGGGAGAAATGGGAAGGTCGGAGC